ACACACACACACACAGAAACACACACACACACACACACACACACAGAAACACACACACACACACAGAAACACACACACACACACAGAAACACACACACACAGACACACACACACCAGACAACGGCAGCACTCTTGGCCTGAATGGACTCCTCCATGATCTACGTATAACTGTGCATAGCCTCTGGCAAGTCCATCAGTTGCTTGGGCATTTGTACAATTTTAAGTCGAATTGTATGCGCATACTCACCAATGTGACAGTATCCACTCTGATGGACAGTGCAGAAAAATGATGTAATGCTGCATCTTCTGATGATTTCTCCTTCTGATTGGAGGCGGAGGATTGCAGGCATTGGGGCTTGTGAGCTTCACATCTGTTCTCCTGTTTCCTGTACCCATCCCTGGTCCTGCACTTCCAGGTCATAATTTACTGGCTGCCACATGATTGCAATTAATCAGCCACATTTCACTCATGCAGCAATAGCACCCACTTCTGATGCCACCATCAAAATCAGGTTGTGCCCACAAATTTAAAGGACATAGCCTGGATCTTCATTATGACAGAGATCCTCTCCAACAAAGTGGGGAAGGAGGCCAAGGTCCAAAAGTCTCACCCAGATGGAACCTCTCATTTTCAGTAATAGGTACAGGTTGTGTTTCGTGCATGCTCATTCCACATATAAAGCAGCAGGCACTTCTACCCATCTCCGAGTTTAGTGACTTGGGTATGTGACCATGACATGGGCATGGTACAACCTGTAGGAGCAGGTCTGAACTTTGCAGAGTTGTTTGGATACGTAGGATATCCCTGTGGAGAGTAAATGTAAGATTTGGTCTTGACATATCTTCAGGGAGGCCTTGTTCCCTTAAGAAGAGGTAAGCTGCTTCCTGGAATCGTTAAAAGTAGGTTCTGAATGGTGGAGGAAAACTGCACAGACTTGGTACTGTGAAACTGATTCAAACTGTCAAGAGCAAACATTTTAAAAAATGCCAAGTTGTCAAAGTGTTTAAAACTGCTACCATTTAAATATTTTCATTAAAAACTATCTGGAGTGTCAAAAAAATAGTGTTCATTCTGCCCGTTGATGCAGGCCGAGGATTTGAGACGCAGGACTGATTACATGACTTTCCATTAGCACAGTGGGGTGCTAGCCATTTCACAATTTGATTGACAGCTCCAAGCCATTAGAGATTCTTTGAAATGGGAATATGAAGTCCAGTGCTTGTCTTTATAAGGGACTCAGCACTTGAATGAAACATTCATTTATAGAAATTATGATGTAGTTGAAGGAATGTAAATGTAGTTAATCAATTATCTTGAATGAAAGTTTTGTTTTAGATGAAAGTTTGCAATGAACACTTATAACTTTATTTTATTTAATTTCTTCATGGATCCTGAGGTCCATATGGTGAATATGGGAAACCTGTCATGGAGGGCCTCAGAGCAAAGGATGGTTGGCGTGTGTTAACACTAAGTTGCCAGAAGGGATATAAAGCACTGTGGGGTATAGCACCATAGCTTGTCACTGACACTATGAAGAATGGGGCCGGGTTGGCATGAGGTGTATGAGGGGTCAGGGAGGTGGGTGCTGAGCAGGAAATGTCTTGAGTTCACTTGGATGGCACGTGGAGATTGTGCATGGGGCTGAAGAGGGAGTGTTACTGGATTTTTATTGTTTTATTATTGAAACTTTGATGGTATGCTAGAGCATTGAGGCAAGCCTTCTGCCTAGCCTGCCTTTGCACCCAACATTGTCTATACTTGTTCTGGGGTTGCCCAGCCCAACTCTCAGAGAACCCACCACTCCAGAACAAAAATTCCAATGGCCAGGAAAGCCTCTCCCAGGTCATGTTCGCAGAACCAGGAAATGTCCCAACACTGAGCTCCCAACATGGGGAGAAACTTCAGGCCTTTATTTTTCATACTGTCCATTAAGTTCAAAACCCAGACACAGAAGGTGTGTGAAGATAGCCGTAACAGTCTCAGCCACCAAAACAGAATGTGCAATTCGTGACAATCGTGTCATTGCTCAAGTGTTTACATAAATAGGAATTCTTTGACGGGAACAATAACCGTGGCTGAGGCATTTCAGGTTTGAGCCCACTAAACTAAAGAGTTTACTGAGCCAGTTACAGTTTAAAAGAAAAGACTTGCATTTCCTGACCTGGGTATATTTGCTTAAATCATAAAAACCTGCATTTAAATGTAATTCCTCATCAAGATGTTTTCTTATGTTTTAAGAAGAAAGAAGCGACACAGGTAAGGATAACGATGAGCCTAAAAACTCACCAGTCCTGCAATGGGAGTCGGCAAACGATTGATCTTCTTCACTGCCCCAGGTTTAATAGCATTTAACAACCTGGAAAGAAAAAAAACAATTTTTAAAAACTCACCCGGATTTTCGTGGCTGGGAAATTTGAACTGAAATCAAGCCAATCAGGCTTACATACTGTCACATACTGTAATCATCAATAAGTATGCGTGGTAAAGCTTATCAGTCACTGCTGAAAATTCATAATTTTAACTGGTGACAATTTCTAAGGAGTCTTCCTTCTTTACAATGCTTACCCCAATACACTAATCTCACAACCAATTGAATAAGCTAACTTTGCACAGCTCTATTAAATATACCCCCATTTCCCGGCACTAAATGTACCATGGAACAGCTGGCAGTTTTTCAAATTTAAATGTAAAGGAGACTTCAAAAATATTAATTTAAATGCTGTTACTTGAGAGACAAGAATACAGAATCTAAAAGCAGACTTTTTGGCCTATGGTAAAACTGGCAATAAATAAGATAGAACGGTGCCATGACTTTACAGCAACTTTTGTGACTAACGGTCCCAATAGAAAACGTTTCTCAAATGAATTAAACTTTGTGTCTTTGCATTGTTAGTTAATCTGAATCTTTGTCCAAAAGGCAGTCTGTAACAGTTAAAATGAAATCTGGCTGTTAATTCTTCACATTATGACAATTTATCAAGATGATCACATGAAATCACCGTTATAATATTTAAGTGCTTGCAAACACAAACCAGACTGATAGCTGTCAATCTCATTTTCTCGTTGAACATAATCATCTGCTTTCTATCTTTTCAGATGTTTTAAAACTAGAGTAATTTATTACTTTATATTAAACGATCAGTTATCTGATGGCGTTTCAAACACCTTTGATAGTTCACCAAGGGATACTTTGCTGACTCAGGTTTTGGCAGTTATATGAGTTTATATTGGCTCTACACTATGCAGTGGAATGTGGAAAGACAGCAAAATTTTTGGTCCACGTGGATTCAAATTCATGCACACTGCTTCCTGACCTCTGGTTGTTTGTAAGGCAGCAACAGTGATTGGGAAAAGCATTAAAATACTCAGTTCTCCCGCATCATTCCAAACAGCAGCGCTATGAATTGTGAGCGGTTAAGCTTTCATTTGAAAACTCATCTATATGGTGGGACTTGCACTAACTGCACAACAGAACTGTTGTCCACTGGCACTGGTTAAAAGAAAAAAATCTCTTCCAGGTGATCTTTCTATCGGTGCACAATATCAGGGCCCATGTGAATTGGGTAGCTTCACACCCAGATTCTGGCGTTAAATCAGTAGCCAAGAAACCATTATAGTATAGTTTATAAAAGTGGTATTAGAATTTCAAATTACTTTATGGCCTGTACCCGAGGTTGTAGCACAAAGGTTTAATATACAACACATTGCACCCGTGTTTGGTTTACAACCTATTACTTTAAATCCAGAATACATTCTTATTTTAGGATTAGAAGGCACAAATGAAAAATATAACATACTTTCACAACTATTTCCGTAACAAATATTTGCTTGAGTCAAAGAATACATTGTGTTAATGAGGTCTGTCACAAACACATTGCCTGAAACACCAACTGTTCTATTTTTAGAAGTGTAATTTAAAACATATCATTTGGTAATTCACTGTTCATAACCATTTCCCCTCTCATTTTCTATGGTTTTATGGGTTCCAGGCAAGTATTTTCCAGATAGGCTCACCTATAAATTCTTAAGGTTCAGTCAACAAAAGTAAAATGAGAGAATGTGAAGATGGAATGGGTCCTGTTAATTTACTGCCCTTTTCCTTAAGTGGTGGTCAGCATTGGACATAAAAGAGCAGGAATTTGTGATTAACCATTGAACCAAGACTGTGATGGTCAATCCGAATGACTTGCTGCATGACTGTGCTCATAGGAAGCTATCTCTCTTTAGACTGTACAACTTCGGCACTGTCTTTGGTTATTTTGAGTCATCTGTCCTGCTCTACAGTAAATCTCTATGGTGGAAATTTCCTATTTTCAGTTGAAGTGTTTTGTCAAGTGAGATTAGCATCCAGACTGCCATAGCTCACAATGACTTTTCTCATGCCATCTGTCACTCTTCACCTTATTTATTATGTAACTAAGCTCTTTGATGCTCTTCTCAAAGAATTATACAACAGGAGAGATGGACATACTCACCATTGCCAGGAACTTGTTGCTTTCTTAGCTCTGGTGCCACCTTTAAAGCCCAGTTACACAGCACTTCAAGTCAAACCTATCTTTCACACTGTGCTGTTCTACCATAATGGCACATCACAGAAAGGCACCTTGAGTTGCTAGTGGTCAGGACTGTGGAATAGAGGGCAGTCGTTTTTCCTGTGGACCTTCACAGGATGCCAATGCCACCAGATCAATCCATCCTGGACCTAGATAGCAACTGGGTCAGTGCTGTATCCCAAAAAAGAAGAGAAACTCAACAGTGCAGGAAAAAGATTAATAGCCATCTGTATTCTGTAAGATTAAGTGCCACCATCTACTTTCTGCTACCTCACACTCATAGCGCTATTACTCACTCTAACTGTTCCACTGAATACACTTTGATCAAGTCTCATGGGCCACAACTCTCACAACTGCATGCATCATGCCCAATTAATGGCTCTCTCCCACACCAGCCTCCATTCACCCTTTGTGTTTTCTACTGATTCACTGGGGATCTGTCTATATCCCACTATAGACTCCGTCATTCTCACAACTTGCCAGCCCATCTACTTTTGTCTCATCACAACTTGGCCATAATACATTCACTTTCCTCATTGCATTCATGAATATATATTGTAAATAAGTGTGGCAACAGCAATGATCCCTGTGGCACTCCACGAATTACAAGCTGCCCTCTGGAAAATGCCCAGCCCCAACACTCCCCCCCAACCAACCACCCCGCACCCCGCCCAGCCCCCACCTTTTATTCCAGCTCTGTCTTCTGTTAGTTAGCCAATCCTATTTCCGTGCTAATATACTATCCCCAATACCTTGGGGTATTATCTTATTAGAGTTGAAAATAGAAATTGCAGGTCTGGCAGCTCCTGCGGAGAGAAATCAGGGTAAATATTTGGGATCGAGTAGCCCTTCCTCAGAGAAAAACTGGACAACTGCCTCCAGTTCTGAGGAAGGGTCACCTGACCCAAAACATTAACTCTGATTTCTCTCCACAGACACTGCCAGACCTGCTGAGTTTTTCCAGCAATTTTTATTTTTGTCTCTAATGTAAAGCATCCATGGTTCTTTAAGTTTTTATTACCTTATTATGTAGTATTATATGTGGTACCTTATCAAATGCCTTTTGGAAATCCAAATACGTAACATCTATTGGTTCTTCTTTATCTACCCTGCTTGTTACCTCATCAAAAAACTGTAAATAATTTGTCAGGCATGATAACCCCTTCATGAAACCATGCTGACTTAGCTGGATTATGTTATATAACTGCCCAAAAGCAACCTATTTTTTGTCTCCCTCTTTTTGAGTAGTGTTACATTGGCAGTTTTCCAATCTTCTATGACTTTTCCAGAACCTAAGAATCCTTGGAAGATTTCTACTAATGCATCCACTAACTCTGTAGCTACTTTATTTAAAATCCTAGAATGGAGCCCAACAAGCCAGTATTCTTTTTGCTTTGTCCAGTGATGGATAGTGTGTTCATTTCCATTCATCTTGACCCCTTGGTTATTTAGTATATTTGAAATGCTATTAGTATCTTCTACTGTGAAGACTAATGCAAAGTATTTGTTCTAACTTTCTACCATTTCCTAGTTATCCATTATTTTCCCTGTCTCATTCTCTCAGAGGCCTATGTTCAACAATGCTTTTCTCTTCTTGTTTTCACACTTACAAAAGCTCTTACCATTTTATGTTACTTGCTAATTTGCCCTCATGGTTTCTTTTTTCACTCTTTATTATTTTTTGGTCATGTGTGGTTAGCTTTTAAAACTTTCCAAATCCTCTGATTTACCACTTATCTTTGCCACATCCTATGTTTTTCTTTCAATTTCATACTGTCCTTATTTCATTATGGGAGCACTAAATTTTACATTGCCCTGTGATGGTATACAACAAAGCTGTTAATCATAGCTCTGCCCCCTTGAGACATCGTTACAGAGCCAGATTTATAGCATTATCAGATCAATTATACTGGATAGGCAGCGGTCATTTAGCTCAGATGGCTGAACCACTGGTATGTAAGGCAGAGTGATGCCAACAGCATGGGTTCTAGTCTTGTACCAGCTGAGGTTACATGAAAGATTCTCCTTCTCAACCTCTCCCCTTTCTTGAGGTGTGGGGAACCTCAGGTTAAACCTTACCAGTCATCACGCTCTAATGAGAGAACAATGCTATGGTCTGCTGAGACAATGATGACTTTAACATTTTTTTACTGAATAACATCCTGTTTGAAAGCAGAAGTGTTAAAAACAGATCCAAAATTGAATTCTTGGGAATTCCATACAACAATGTGTTTTAATCTGACAAATCCTGTGTGGCAGAGTTGCTGCTGTTGCTGGAGTACAGCAAAGGGATAGATTCATCTCATTGCAACTGCTGAATTTTTCCAGCTGGCCACAACATAAACTTGCAAAGGAGATTATTTCCAAATCTGGGAGTGACTCAACTGCCACTTTTGTACCACTTCAAGAAAGCCCACAAGTTCTCCAGGATCAAAGCTGGTTTCCTGATGCACTCTGAATCTCTGACAAATTTAATCATCACCAACTCCCACCACTCACATCTCACCACCCACGCCTCTCACCCACTTTTAATTTTCACATTCGACCCCACCCCCACCACCGTATCATCCAATTCAAAAAGGCTTAATGTTGCTCTTAACCCATTTTATGGTAATCCATTACAATTCCCTGGATTAGTGATTACTACAATAGGAGAAGATATATGCAGCTAAGATCATAAAGAGATTTTATTGTGTCTAAACACATAATACTGAAGCATAAACAGGATTTCAGTTCACAACTTCAGCAGTAAGTCTTTACATGTTAAAAACTTTAAGATTAAGAAAGAACTTGCATTTTATACAGCAC